CGTAGCAATCGTAAGACTAATTGGTTTGCGCCATGAAGAGAAATATTATGTATGAAATTTATCAGAAGGCGAGAATAACTACAGCCATATGGGATGAGAATTGGATGCTTTTCATCATAGGAGAGCGCAAGCGAATTGATGAGCCTGCCATTGGCTCTTAGAAGGCCATTACCATCAAGAAATGGATTTAAATTAAGCAGCTTGCTCTTCTTTGATAAAGGTATTTTCAGCGCCAAGTGCTGATATTCCTCACTAAAACCTCTTTTCTGTGACAGACAAATCAAACGTTCGCGCGTTTTAGAATATTCTGCCCCAGAGACTGCTAAAGAGTCAAACGAATATATATTGCGTGTTTTCCTATTTGCCATATAATAGAACCTCAACACATATGACAAGACACGCAAAGCTCGAGGAAGTGAAGAAAATCGTTCCAATGGATCCTCCAAATCGGTAACCTGTGAAACATGCGCATAGATTTTTTTAGCTTCGGGTACGATATCATCCAGTTCCTATCCAAAGGCGGCCAGTGTGAATAGTTTTGTCTCAGCCAGCGAGGACCATGCCACCATAAGTCGTTNAATACAGTTCCTTGTCGAAAGGCGGCCAGTGTGAATAGTCTTGTCTCAGCCAGCGAGGACCATGCCACCATAAGTCGTTCGTGCACAAATCTTGTGGACTCCCTCCGCGCCTGCCTAAATCTGCAGGATTATCCTGTGAATCTACGTGGTACCAATGTACATGACTCGTCCTTTTTTGTATTTTTGCAACTCTATTGGCTACGAAGGTTGCCCAAGTGTAAGGTGGTTTCTTTAACCATGACAACACAATTGTTGAATCTGTCCAACAGTAAATCTTTCCTACTCTGATTGATATCTCGTTAATAAGAGATTTGAGCATTTCGGAAATAAGTAGAGCTCCGCATAACTCTAACCGGGGAAGCGAAATGGTTTTTAGAGGCGCAACTTTTGTTTTTGCTAAGAGAAGATGAGAGGATATATTTCCATGATTATTTGCACGCAGATAAATCACCCCCGCGTATGCCTTTTCCGAGGCGTCGCAAAAGGCATGAATTTCGATGGGAGATTCATCGGTATATTCCACCCAACGCGGAATTTTGATGAAGCCTATGAACCTATAATTTTCGACAAAGTCTTTCCATTGAGGAAGTGTTTGGGAACTTAAAGGTTTATCCCAAGGGGTATTATCTTTCCAAATTTGTTGCATTATGATTTTAGCTGTAATCACTATGGGAGCTAACCAACCGGCAGGGTCGAAGAGTTTGGATATTGTCGATAAGACTTCTCGTTTCGTGTACGAATTTTTGAAGGATGGTGGTTGAACCATGAAATAAAAATGGTCTAATCGAGCGTTCCACCTGATTCCTAGCGCCTTTGTGTTACTCGTTTCATCAAAATCTAGAAAATCCTTATCCAACATATGATCCTTAGGAAGGCCTATTAACAAGTCTTTCGAATTTGAGGACCACTTTCTTAGCAAAAAACCTGCACTTGCGAGAGCGTCTATCAATTCATTCCTTGCACGTAGAGCAGTAGAAATATCAGGAAACCCTGCTAAAACGTCATCAACGTACATTGAATTTCTTAGAATTTGTGCCGCCATTGGATGCGAATTCTGACAGTCGTCAGCTAATCTAAGAAGTGTCCGAATCGCTAAGTATGGAGCGCAGTTGATTCCGAATGTAACAGTTTTCAGCTGATAATCTTCAATGTCGCTATTCTTATCACTACGAAACAAAATTCTCTGAAAAGGTCTATGGTCTGGATGAATCAATATTTGGCGATACATTTTTTGTATATCGCTGTTGAATACAAACTTGTATATCCTATACCGTACAAGAAGTAATGTTAAGTCTGATTGAAGGACTGGACCTGTGTATAAAATGTCGTTAAGACACACACCATTTGACGATTTGCTGGAGGCATTGAATACTACTCTCAACTTAGTAGAGGTACTTTCAGGCTTAAGAACTGAGTGATGAGGAAGGTAGAAATGGGATGGAAAATGCTGAAAATTAGGAATAGCTACCCGCTCCATGTGATCTAACTCCAAATATTCCTTAACGACGTTGTCATAATTAGCTTTAAGCCCACTGTCTTTCTGCAGCCTACTTTCATTTCGAATAAACTGTCGTAGTGCATTAGGGCGTGATGATCCTAGTTTGATTTCCGTAGGAAATTCCTTTTTAAAGGGCAGTGATACGATGTATCTGCCTTCTGGATTTCTGGTGGTGGTTTTTGTGTAAAGCTCTTCACAGAACTTGTCCTCCTCACTCTGAAGATTTCGTTTTGGGACCTCCTCCAATTCCCAAAACCGTCGAAGTTGGTTGTCCATGGTATCATCATCTCCTATTGAGACCTTTGTAGCAAAGCAGGAAACGTGTGCAGTGGAAGCTGCCCCAGTGACAATCCACCCGAACACCGTTTCTTGGGATAAAAGGTTGTTGTGAAGACTTCGTTTCACTCCCTCCATCATAACCTTGGGGTATAAATCACCACCAATCAAGACATCTATGGGACCGCTTTGTAAAAAATTAGGATCCGCTAAAGGAATTTTAGGTAACTCATCCAAAATGGATGCATGCAATGAATTAGAAGGCAGGTTGCCGGTAATTTGTGGTAACACAAACGCGGTTGCTTCTATTTGCAAGTTTGGATTGCGTGGTGAACCCAAAACAAACGCACAGAACTTCGAGGCACTTGAAGATACCTTTTTGTTCAAACCAGAAATTGTCGCATTCGTTTTGGAATATGGTAGTCTTAAGAGATTTCGGACTCGTTCCGAAATGAACGATGCTTCCGATGCTGAATCGATCAAAGCTCGAGCACTATATGTAGAGCCTAAATAACAAATATGAACTATAGCAGTTCCAAGTAAAGCTGAACCTAAGTTTTTCGATTTATCTGAAAGCTTGTAGCTACTATTAGAGGTAGTGGACTGTATATGAAAGGTTTGTGATGAAGCCCCCTGAGTTGTCACTTGACTATTGTTCTGAGCAATTGTGCTCACTCTATGTAGTAGAGTGTGATGCCTGCTATTGCACGTTGTGCATGAATAATTGGTTTTGCAGTCTTTTACTGAGTGCCCCCTCGTAAGACAGTTGAGACAGGAGCTATGCTTCTTTACTGTGGCATACCTATCACTAATAGAAAGATTTAAAAACTTTTTGCAAAGTCTTAAAACGTGTTGTTGCTTTGGGCATAGTACACAACTTGTGGAATTTGCTACCTTGGTAGCATGTGACAACCTTTTTTGGCCACCGGTGTTCTGCGCATGCTGAGGCGGCCGCTGAAGCTGATGTGCTGATGATGAATTTGCAGGGCCTTTAACATCCACGATCGATTCCAGAGTACGGTAGCGTTGGGTTAGAAAGGCGTCCATTTGACTCCATTCCGGAAGAGCAGCTTTGTCTAAGAGGGTCTGTTCCCACAGGCTGAGTGTTCCCTCTGGAAGTCTAGTCGAACACAGAAATACAATAATTGGATCCCAGTTTGCCACATCAACCTCGTATATTGCTAAAGCTGCTAAGCACCCATTAATGCTTCGTTGGAGGTCCTTTAATGCTGAAGCGCTTTCAGTCCGCATGACTGGTAACGCGAACAGCAACTTCAGCTGGCTATTAACTAAAACGCGTTTATTTTCATATGTAGCTTTGAGGTTAGCCCATGCTAAGTCAAAGCCTTGATTTGTTAGTGGAGATTTACTAACAATTTCTTTCGCTTCTCCACTTGTCTTTCGAAGCAGGTGACACAGTTTTTCAACGTCGCTTAGACGCGAATTATTTATATAAATGGCCGTAAAAAGATCGCGAAAACTTGGCCAAGATACATAGTCGCCACGAAAAACCTCAGTATCGCAAGGTGGTAGCTGCAAGTTATGGAGCGAAAGCGATGCGTTGGCATGAAGGCCTTGAGGTGTTTGTGGATCTTCCTTGATTTTTTGCAGGCATTCCGTAATGCAACTTATACAGGAGAGGTAATCTTTTAAAGTAGCCGAATATTTGGCTCTTACTGCCTCTACCTCTCCATCTTCCTTAAGAGACTGCATACATTTCTCATACGCAGCCTTAGTCTTACCCCAATGCTCGCCGAGCTCCTCTTTCATAATCTCTAATGAAATTTTGGAATGTTCGATCAAAGTCGTTGCGTTGAAATTCGCATTGAATTCGACGACTTGATCGGAACATCGCGTGAAAAGATTTAGAGCAGTCGACATTCTTTACCCAATTACAATGAAAATATGGAAAGAATAAAGAAGCAAGATTGCTTTGATTCTTAATAAATTACGTAAATGACAATGTATACCCGCAAAACCCAAACAATGAGTTGATCCCAAACAATGTAGAAATCAAAAAGAGTATGCAACAAAAATCTTTTAAATATAAAAAACATATGACAACTGACGTATCTGATTTTATTTACATATAATAGAACAAATTTCCTACTGGGATGTTTAATATGTATCTGTAAAGCTGCATATTTTACATATGTACAGACGTCTGCAAGTATTCACATATACACGCAATGATAGATGTTAAGTGTACTTTATATGTTTCTATGTACGTACGTATGTTACGCGAAAAATCATCCAAATAGAGAAACAAATCAACAAGAAAAAGTTAGATGCGTATATATGTATTGTATGTACAAACGTATGTACACATGCATGTTTGCAATGTTCTAATATCTAAAATTGCTATTAAAAATCACCGAAAGTACGCGTAAAGGATAAGTAAAACAAAAATGCAGCAATGCACTAAGTATTTTGTATGCAGAATTTGATATTTATTGTTCGGGTGATATGCTTCACCAAAGGAGCGCGTAAGCGAAAATTTATAAATGCACCAAAGTTTATGATAAATGTAAGTACATACAAATGTCTCACGGTAAATTATATATATGCATGCATATACATATGTATGTGCCTGTAATATGAAATGCGAAAAGAAACACTGACCTATCCCAAATAACTGTTCAATAAATGTGCATTGTTTGCATATAAGTAATTAGAGGCGTACGTTTGTACCTATGTACATACTTACATACATATGTATTTGAAACAGTATGTACCAAGACAGTTCGCGAGAGGCTGGAATATATTGGAAATTCTATATACATACATACATATGTTCGTACGTATTTATGTATCCACTAAGAACCAGAGCATATATGTTCATGTATATAATAAAGAATTAGCGCGGGAAGCGAATTGTAAACTCTGGTAATTATAAAACGCACAAGTCAAAAAATGCCAATTTTGAAATTATTGCTGGTTATTTTTGACAACGTAAAAATGCATATTTAATCAAACTTTAAAATGATTTAGTAATAAGTTGATCCACAACAAGCACTTACTTAATTATCTGGTTTATGAAAGGCGCTTATATTAACTCTTCAGCTAACCTCTTTTATTTTCGCTTTAGTTCCGCCATGCGTTTTTGACACTCAGTATGTATTTTACATGCACAAACGCCTACATACATGTACACACATATATATCGGCTTTTTACCTATCAAGAGTTTGGTTTTATTTAATTTTTGGTTCGTATTACCACGGCCGAAAAAACTTCGCTTTTATTAAAAATTTAGTGATTTTGCACTTAAAAAAAAAAAAAAAAAAGACTCGCGCTGCACTTTTCTAATTTTTTTATTTTTCATATGAACTTATATAGGATTGCTCAACAATATTTATCACACGCACCTGTTCGCTTTGAAAGAGTCAACGATGAACTAAATTTTCCGCTGTTTTCGCTGAATTCCTGTATTCGCTTTTGGTCAAAGTTTTTAACTTCCAGTTCGCCTCGTTGTTGTGGTAGAAATCCGTACTTGTGGTTTATGAAGATCTCTCTGATGAATATATGGCAATGTGTACATATGCTGACGAAGATCAGCCGTTCTTGCTGGAGTTCGACGGCTCGCAGGACCAAAATGTTGGGTTGGAAAACCTTCAATTCCGCCGGTGCGAACTCGCAAGAATCGTATTTGTATAAAATGTAAAGAAAAACACCAAATGTATTATTAGTAGGAGGATACTCAGTTTATTAATCTCTATCAGATTAATTATATAATCGTGTAAGACAAAGTAACGTAGATTACCTCTGTAAGTGGGTGTGTAGGCACGATAACTGCTGCTTCCACCGTAGGCTTGGACTATACAAGAAGTACTAATATAGCAGGATTTGCGATACATGCTTATATAAGCGTATAATATCGTAAGGGAAACACCGGTTGACTTTCGGTCGATGTGCATCTTTGCAGCGGATAGCAGTGCCGAAAGTCACACAGCGTTTCCCAAACGTTGAAGGCTTCTGGCTTAAACATCCTTCAATAACAGCTACAAGGAGGAAGTGCTACTCAAGCGATATTTTAATTTGAGAAATTTCAGCGGAAAAGTCTAATCAATCATACCGTTCTTAGAGTGGTGGGGCTGGATTCTAAAATTGCGAGTTTTCAAGTGTACACTGAAAATTTTATACACTCTTCATTTTGCGATTCAGGAAGTGTGAGAATGAGTTTTAGCTGTTAAAATTGTATACACTTCCTCGTTCTGCGATTCAGCAAGTGTGAGTATGAGTTTTAACTGTCAAAATTGTGTACACTTCTCTTCCGAAAAACTCACTGAATTTTATTCGGTGGGTTTTTTGGTAGTGAGTTTTGCACTCGGTGCACACTACGTTTTCTCACAGGTGCAGAATCCAGCCCGAGGAAGTTCAAAAAGAGGTACTGTTTCAGAAATAATCAAAAGAATTAGTAATGATTAGGGCCCGGATTTCTATGCATTTACATATCATTTTTGGTAAGTCATAGGAACTTAAAGATTAACAAACGTTGCGAATCAAGAGCTTTGTGTTAAGATGACAAATCTTTTATTTTACAAATGAGATCTTGTTATAATATAGTTAAAAAAAAATAACATAGTATCTTCAGGGTAATAATAAATAACACAAATCACTTATATAATAGCGATGTACAAACAATTTTCTTTAAAAATACGCATACTTTTTAAAAACATTTAATTATTAAATTTACTATAACTCACATTAATTGATTAATCGCACAATCCGCTTTTAAGCGCTCGGCGCTAAAAATAAAATAAGAACCTAAAATAAGGCGTGTTCAAACATCTTTGAACATGAGTACATATCTGCATGGGTAATAAAATTTAACATAAAAAATACGTGCATATGTATGTACCTGCTTAGATACCCTGCAGCAATTCAGACTCACCCTAGGTTAGCCCTCAGATAGTCCCNTAATTATTAAATTTACTATAACTCACATTAATTGATTAATCGCACAATCCGCTTTTAAGCGCTCGGCGCTAAAAATAAAATAAGAACCTAAAATAAGGCGTGTTCAAACATCTTTGAACATGAGTACATATCTGCATGGGTAATAAAATTTAACATAAAAAATACGTGCATATGTATGTACCTGCTTAGATACCCTGCAGCAATTCAGACTCACCCTAGGTTAGCCCTCAGATAGTCCCTATTGTTACCAGCACTAGTCCCTCATAATTCCGCTGCCAATGGTTTCAACTGCCATTTTTAGCATTGGCGTGTCATTGGAAAAGGACCGGTCCAATCAACACTGACCATATGATAGTCCTGGACTAGTCCAATTTTGGAGATTTTTTTCGTTGGAGTAAAATTGCGTTCTGCACTTCGCAGATGCTTTTTCATAATTCGGAAACACAAAAAAAAAAAATTATCATTTTATAACCATGTTGCTTCTGACGGCATTTGAACCCGGACCCTCCTGAAAGCTAACAAATAGTGGCAATCATCTCTGCGCATTGAGCTACAGCCACGCGTGTATATGTATGTTCAAATGTTCACTTTGCATCAAGGCCAGACCAAGCGATTGGGACATTTACAGGGTGGTGTTCTTTGATTTTTTTTTTATTGAATTGCAAGACAACACCACCCAGTTACTGCCAAACTGTACTTTTCGTCTATCTCTAGGCCGGTTCCTTGGGAACTGGTCGAAGGCTGACATTTTCGATGCAAGCAAATGTCCAATTCTGACCGATAAAATTTTAACCAGTGAAGTACTAGTCCTTTACGGAAAATTGGACGCCTTATTGCTGCAGGGTAATAACTTGTGCACATACACATAAACATCTGTTTAGAAAAGGATCCCCTGAAGGAAAGATTGGTCCAATTGCTCGAAAAATATAGTCGTAGGTGTCGTATTTTTGTATCTAGACCAGTGGTCGGCAAAAGTTAAACTGTGACTATGTTGGTGAGAACAAGAGAACTGCTTCGCATGAGCAACCCAGTAGGAAATTGCGAGAAGTGAAACAAAATTTTTAACTTATCAGTCTTCAATAAAAACATATATATACATACATATATTTAACACATACATATGTACATATATGTGCATCGCTCATTTACTATAAAAGTATCATAATCCCAAAAAAGCAAAAATCGGGTTAAGTATGCAAGAATGAACATTAGCTCTTTCTTATGATGTGTAAAAATTGCATAGCTGTAACGATTACCAGTAGCTCACTAGAACAAAATCAGCCTTATCCTGAGTTTCGCCCGAAAAAAAGTTCACCCTAAAAATGTTCATCCGCGCATAGAAAATTCACGGAAACAAATGATAAAGCTGAATATGTATTAATTTTTCCTTTGGGAGTATATGTAAATTCAAAACGTTAAAACTGGTTTTTTCGAGTTTTAAGTTTTTTGAGTTACGAAAATATTGAAGTAAAACTCAAATAAAAAATTTCAAAATTCATTTGCATTCACCCACGTCAAATATTGAAAATTTAAATAAAAAATTGAAATTCGTGTTCATCAAAATTTTCCATATCATTATGAAATGATTGAAAATGTCTTTTAATCGCATACATATTCTCTTTAATAACCATCTTTTAATTCTTTGAACAAAAAAAAATAACTTTTTCTGTCTGTCTTTGAATAGCATATTCTTTATTTTTTAAATGACTTATAACACAAAAGACATTGCATGTCACCAAAAGCATTTTCAAGCATGTAATATTTCTCGCAAGGCCTTTTTGCGCACAAGAAACAAAGCGCAACAGCCAAACACGATGTTGATTCGTTGCTCTTTAGCCAACGACTAAACGATAGAGCGTAAGAAAACGTGTGAGTTGATCTTCCACAATTGTGGTATGAAGCGGCGACCACTGATCTAGGCCAAAGATAGTCCAAAAATTTAAAGCAATGTAATATAAAACCG